TATTAGCTACAACCTCTAGCAAGAATCTTCCCAGACTGAAACCCCAGTTCCCAAGTAATGCCAGTCACAACACTGTGAATTCCTCAGGGAGGTACCAGCCTCATCCTCTTATCTCTCCCTCGTTCCTCAGGAGATGAAAGAACATGTTTTCCTCCCTGAGTCTGGCCTTCATAATTCCATTCCATCTCAGTTGCTTCCTTCAGCCGCTGCACAGTCCCAGGAAAGAACACGGTTTATAGAGTTGTGCCTGCAAGAACACTCAAGAACCTTTTTACCTTGGAATCCAAAGCACTGCACAAGCCTTGAATGTTGTACTGACACTGCTGATTAAGTGCTGCAGCGAGTACATTTCATCAGGCTGAACATTTCCCAACTGGCTACATTGGCTTAGAATCCCCCTTATCAGCCAGTATGGCTACTTGCAAAGTGGCAAAGAGCTGCAGAGTGTCAGCATGTCTTTCTGATCTCATTCACATGATGCCAGGCAGGAGAAGAAGATGGCAAATACAGGCTCAGTTGTTGTACCTGAGCCAACCTACGTTCATGGTTGAAGTTGGCCTGGGAGATCCAGGTTTAAGGTCTGGCCTGACTTGAACCCCACCAGTTTATTTTGAAACATTTTCAATCCAATCCACCCCACAATTACTGCTGTGAGCAAAAAAAAGTGGCAAGATCCTGTTCAATACCATCTTACGCGACTAAAGGAAATACATATAAATAACTGCAACTCTGCACAAAATAAGCTATGGCTTAAAAAATAAAAGAAGGGAAAGCAGCATGCATCTTCTGTAAACACAGAAATTCTGTAAACTATGTAAATATTCTGTAAAACAACAAAACCAGACACTGGTACTTGTAAAGTTTTTAATTACAAAAGAATTGACAAGTCTGTTTATGTGAGAGAGCACAATAGCATTTTCAGGTTGTTAAGTTTCTTGGTTGCAAAAAAGGCATGGACTTCCGTTTTGTGTATGAACAATCCTGCAAAGAAAGCTGTATTTGTTTGCAAATAAGGAGCACTGTTGGCTTTGTGAAGGCTATTCATGCACTGGCTATATTTGGTTCATAGCACTGTGTTGCCTGGCACTTTTATGGACAATTTCATGCAGTGGACCACCTCCGCAATTAAGATGTTGCAGCACAGAACTGTCAGCTGCATAACACTTCAAACAAAGGCGGCTTTCCTCTGACTTTTTAAAAAAGATTCAGCATACTAATCTCAGAGTAGGCAGTTTTCTTTCCTACTACATATTCATTGCTTCAATTACAAACAATCCTTTTTGATGCATTATGTATAAAAAGCCAATTATTTAGCATGCAATCATCTATTTGGTTACAACAAGGGACAGATGTTGGTGTGTTTTTCACTGAGCTGCATTCAGATTTTCTTTTGCTTTCAGTCTCGCTACCAAACATGTAATCTGCCCCTGTTCCTCCCTGCCAACCATCCCGATAATACTGCATAGCACTCCTTTGCAAAGAACAGGTGGAAAAATAGATTTTCTTTCAAATCCAATTTGAATTTCCAGTAACCTGTAGTGTGACAGCATTAAATGGTATTACTAAGATGTTATCTTTCTACATTTTTTTCATGAAAGGCTTTCTTACAGAAGAGTTAAAAAATAAATCCTTTCAATATTTTGGTTTGTTTGTTTTCCTTTTTCCTCTGGGAAGCTAACCTAATTGTATTTTTTTAAATCAGCTTTACATGGCATTATCCCTTCCATGAGCATCCTCTTTATTGCTCTTCAGAAAGGCTGTGTTGGGAAGCAGAGTCTTCTAGTGCCATATCTTCTTGGCTGGCTCTTCTACATTCCATCATATGGCTTATCAGAAGAGCGTGAGTAGTTCCTAGGTCCCTTCGCTGTCTGGATTCAGTAGCATCGCTGGCTTCATAATCGTCAGATAAGGGCTTTTGAAAAATAGAGACAGTGTCATTAATGTCCTAATAGCACCCTTTAAAGAAGCATTGCCAAAAAGGGTCAGCATCTGGAGGCCACATTCAACCTTGTACATGGTCACCAGACGTTTCCACCTTGGTCTCTCATGCACCTTGAAAGGTTTAAAAATAATCTGTAGCATCCAATACAGTAGAAGGAGCTACAATAAGGCCAGAAAACCAAAAACATCCCCAGGCACCTGCAGACACCGTTCAGGTATTTGCAAAGTATTATTTAGTTCCTAGCCCAGATTTGGAGTCACCAACAGAACCGGTTTAATATTTAGTAGCCAGAGGGTTATTTGTGATGTAGCCATAGCTGATACGACTTTTATGGAGGTAGGGCATAAGAAGTGGCAGTATTGACAATGCTTCCTTAAATAACTTAAACACGAATATGATCCGTGGCTGGCTAATCCACTATTCTCTTTGGACCCTTTCCATTTTGAAATCTTTGATAAATTCAGCTGTCTGGCAGGACAGAGAAATGGTTTGCATCTCATTTCTCCTCCCCCAGCTGCTTTCTTCTTCTTCTTCTTCTTTCTCTGAACATACAATTTATCTCCCATTTAATACAACAGCTATCTAAATTTTCTCTGAGTTGAGACATGGTGGAGGACCAGGATGGCTTTGGGATCAAAGCTCTTTCCCATACCACCTGACTCTTTGAATTTATTGATTCTTCCTCCTTCCCATCTCCAAAATGTAATGCTTTGATGGTAAGGAAGGAAGGGACTGAACAATCCATGTCAAATGGACCGTGGTGGGAGAGGAAGGATACAAAAAGTACAAAGAAGGTGAGGCTAGGTCATGCAAAGTTGGTAGGAGTTTCCATTGCTTTCCAGGATAGTTGGCAGATTTTCTTTGCATGTTTAAATTATTAACCTTGTTTAAGGGCCGAAATTAAAAATTTGGGATGTTTATGGTCTTGACATTCTGATTTTAGGCAATCATGCTACTGAAATTCAAGAGCATGGTTGAAAGGAGCTCCAGTGGCCAAAGAAACCAACTTTGGTAGTTACACATGGCTCAGGAGCCATAAATTACCAATCCCTATGACAGAACAAGGCACTAATTGGTTGACTGCCATCCAGTCAGCATCAGGTCTTAGCAATAACATAAACAGATTTTCTCCAGGACAGAATAAGGCATACATACAGTTCATCTTTTTTGTTATATCTTACCTGTATGATCTCCTGCATATTACGGTTTGCTGCTCTAACAGATGGCCCAATTGCAATATTAACACTACTGGATGACTGGGTATCTGTTGTGTTTCCTCCTTCAGCTGCAGAGAGCCCAGAAATGACCAGTGCACTTGAAAAACTTCTCTTGCCAAACAAGAGGCTGAGAGTAGAACTAGTTGAAGAGCCCAGACTAGACCTGAGCACAGCCTCAGCTCGTTCCTGCAGTGTCAGCTGGCCCAGAATAGGGATGGCAGGGGTCGGGGAGAACACAGAGGCTGCAGAATTGTGGAAGGAGAGCTGGCTGTCAGAAAGCCTTGGGGCAATCTCATGGGCGGAAGTGGAAGTCTGGATGAAGGGTGGCTGACTCTCTAAGATTGGACCAGAATGACTTGAGCGAGGGGGCCTTTGACTTAAAGCCGCATGTGTCTGAACAGACTGGCTCCTGAATTTTCTCCTGCCTTTAAAAGAAAATTAGAAAAAGAGAAGATCATTTGCACAAACTAGATCTCTAATGAAACCCTTCAAAATGTCTACCCACTATTCGATTAATGCACAGTAGAAAACACTACCCACAAATATTGTTTCAAGGGCAGCAGTTTAATAAATATGCTTAACCAGAAAATCTGAAAGAGGTTTAAGGATATTGAAGATTAGGCACTGTTGTTAATCTGGCTAACTTGTAGATGACATCATCTAACCTACAGTACTTTATTTTTTTAGCAGAGGTTGATCAGCAATTATTCCAGGAAGAATATTTTAACTTTCTATGCCTCTGTCCTATTACAGTAAGCATTTGGTGGCTTGCACTATCACAAAATCTAGTGCAGTGGCTGCTTAGATGATGTCTGAGATCTGAATTCCTATCTCTGTTTAATTGTTATTGTGATTGTTTTTAGATGGTGCCCAGGGGAATTGTTTAGTTTTGAGCTCTAGGGATAGTCAGATAGCACTGGGAGACATCAGATGACACTTTAACAGAATTGAATCTGGCCCATCTGGTCATCTAGAGAGGGCCAGCCAAAAGCTCCATCTCTTTGTAAGGTATACAGGGCATGGGCAAGGCAGCCTCCTTTGTAGTAGCTCCTGCCTTGTGGAATACTCTTCACCAGAAGTACGTGTAGCCCCATCTTACTGCAATTCCACAAACAAGTTAAAGACATTTATTTCAATGTGTCTTCAGTCCCAGCTGACTGACTACAGCTCTCATTTTGGGTTTTAATGATTGGTTATTGCTGATTTCTGAGACTGATTTTGATCTAATTATTATGTCTCATTTCTTCTGTTTCTTATATTATACGCAGCTTAGAGTCTTTTGGGATTGGGGAAGGCTATAGGTACTGTGAAATAAATAAATAAATAAACACATAAATAAATAAATAAATAAATAAATAAATAAATAAATAGGTGATAAATAAATAATCTGGTGTGTAGATAGTTGGACAAGTCTAATATGCTTCACAGAATTGCTTTATGCTGCCCGGAGGTCCTTGCTATCTCCTCCGTTCTCCCTACCCTTCCATTCTGCCCTATCCATAGGCTTTGAATCAAATGCTACCATGATTTAGCTCTGATCAGCTTGCAGACTAGCTTGAAAGAGTAATGCTTCAGTACAGGTTATTATATAATAATGCAAAATCACCATTCAGCAACTACATAAATCATTCTACATTATTAAAGTAAACCACTGCAGTAATAATATAATACAATCTGTCAGTCATTCATATTTCTTGATGTGAACCAAGGGCATTGTGGCTCCTGACAGGATTAGTGCCAAAAATTGTGCTATAGTGATGAACAGGAATTTGCAGTTTACTATAAGCAGGCACAACTCAGAATCGATAAAACCAGACATGCGTTTTAGACATTCATGAAAGGCAAAGATTCTAACTCCAAGCAATGCATAACAGCTCACTTTCAAGCTGTATGAGTAACAACGTATAGTAAATGCATTTATACATGGGTATATACTATGATCAATATGTATTTTCAATTAAAATCTACTTGGCTTACTATCTATATATTAAATACATATGAAATAATAATTAAAACTTATATAAGGACTATTTTCTATATTGCAAGAAATTCTATTTCTTCTGCTTGGAACAATTAAGAGTATACTAAATCATTCATTTTTGTAGTTAATCTATGTTGTAGCCCCGCTACTTTCTATTTAAAAAATGTAAAATTATTAATCCTATGAAATTCCTTTGCATATACACCCTTAGATGTCATTGTAGTTTAGAAGTGGAGTAGGGAATTTTTAGTTGCAGACTCATAGAAAACTGAATTTTTCAGTTTCTTGAAGCTCATTCTTTGTTGATTATTTTTATGCTAATATTGTTAAATGTAAAAATATACTGAAGCTAGGAAATACTGTATGATGAGAATCTTGGTATGCTGACATTCACAGTCAAATGTAATTAAACATCTGCTCTCACTTTAAACAGTTAAGCTGACCACTGTCCAAAAATATCCCATACATGTCTTTAATTCAGTGGTTAAAGTGTTTTATAGTAGACCACCCATATTTCCACATAAATAACTCAATATCTGCAAACAGTTAGGAAACAAAAGAGTCTTTTATATACTTTATAAAGACATTTTTGAAGCTTAAGACCCACCCCTCATGCTGAAATTTACTCAGAGAACTTTGACTGTTAGAGCTGTAGATGGAAAGATAAAGCTAAGTAAAATTAATTATTAAATTATTTTATTTACTTATTTAAAAGATTTGTATGGCCGCCCATCTTAGAACATAACTCTGGGCAGCTTACAACAGCAATAAAACCAAGAAACAATAAAAACCATAAAACCATAAAAATTATGAAGCACTGGACTCCCCTTAGGTAATCCATGATTTTTATGTTACAGTTAAGGTTGTTTTTCTAATTATCTTTGGACTAGCTTGTGAAAGCAAATAGGCATACAATACTGTTAAATAATCAGACCAGTTTAGCAGCAACATTCATTTTAAGCTTAGTATTACTATGTATAGGTAGATTTTTTTCCAAATATTTTTGTGCATTAATGCTAAGGACAGCACACACACTCACACACCAGCAGGTAACTGCAACATTTATGGCCACAGTTCCAGGAGAGAGTTAAGCATTTTTAAACCCATTAATTTTGAAAGAATCTGAGGTGAGACCAAGGGCAGTTTAAGTGCAAGATTCCTTCATGACATCAAAAATCTTTGCTGCGGGCAAGTAAGGGAGGGGCATAGGCCTCCAGTAGAAGGCATGCTGATGTCCCATAGGTCATGACACCATCACAAAAATGACATAAGTGATACAATTGGCATCATTTGCAAGATGACATCATGACACACTTGCTCTCAGTGCAGATAGGACAAGGGTGTCAGGGGAATGGCTTGATATTAGTTAGGCACTGGAATATCTTTTGGACTTAGCCAGGGGTCCAGCTGTCAGATTCAATGTTACAGTTTTGTTTTTCCAACACCTTGTGTTTTTTTATGGGTTTTATTTATTGATTTTTAAATTTTTGATACAAAAAGAAGAAAAAATACATAAAAGTCATTTAATAAAAAAGTGAAAAAAATACAACAAAGAGAAAAAAAGTGTTAATACATCATCATAACAATAACCAATCACAATTCTCTATATGCTTATCTAATACAAATATTATTCAAGTACATATAGATTGCTAAGAGATTTAACGTCTTGTGTTTAACTTGGATTGTTGGCCATCAATAAATGTTCATTATTGGGCAGCCTATAGTGTCAGGGAATAAATGCAACTGAGGATAAGTACCTGGGAACGGAGCAATCTGAAAGGAAGGGTGCAGTTGGGGTGTGCTGTTCCTTGTATGCTGGGAGCTGCTGCTCTGGCTTGAATTATTAGCTGGATTACTGCTGGAAGATCCATTCCTACTGGCTCCTTCTTCACAGCTGCCTCTACTGTGATTTGCGTTGCAGTCCTTCCGCATCCTGTTTGAAAAGAAAGAGTCAGGAACGCCAGAATGCAGTGGACATCTCAGGGCCAGATTCTGGGGAACACGAGTGGGGTGGTATTTTTGCCTTTGCTTCCAGTGTCTGTGTTTTCCACTGTGGGAACACTGTGCTAGACTAGAGGGGCTGTTCTCTGACAAATACAACAGGAAGTTTTATTCTGAGGATTGTTTTACATTTCTTTGGCAAATAATGGGAAAGGCAGATGTTCATTGATATATTTCTGTCAGCTTTCAAACTGGGCTCACACGAAACAGGTAATATTTTGGTCAGTAATAGCAAATAGCTGTGCAAGTTGCATGTTAAATATTCGACGGGATATGACTGAAATATTTCCATATAAAAAACACTGCTGAAATGCAATGGTAATGGGATTTGCACTTGGGGCATATCTCTTGCCAATTTTTTCCCTTATGTTTTTCTTTGACCCTTTTTCTAAGCAGCTCAGTATTTAATCATTTTGTTCCACACTTTATTTTCAGAGCTATCCTCTGAGGTAGTTTAGATCAAGATAGTAACTGGCTCAGAATCAGCCAATAAACTGCATGGCTGAGTGGAAATTTGAACCTGACCGTAACCAAACTTTCTAATCTAGGGGGGGAATCTGTGGACCTCCAGATATTGCTGAATTTCAATTCCCAGTACCTCCAGTCAGCATCACCAATGGCAAGTGTTAGGGTTAAGACAGTTGTTATTCAGTGATATTTGAAGGATCACAGGTCTCCAGTCTCAGCTCTAACCACTAAACCATGCTAAGTCTCATCCTATGATCTGCATCATTAATATGTGTGATGTAGAAGTCCAATACTTGGACAACCCATTTATTTTTAAAATGTTATACAGCCACAGAAAGTTCAGAACATAATCAGAATATTAGCTCAGGGACAAAGATGCTTAATGCCTGCAATTTTTTCCTGAAAGACATCCCCCCTCTCTTCAAAATTGTTATTATCTTCATTGGAAATAGTCTTTAAGATTATAGGAAAAGTTGGGAGGTCCATTTTGGTTCTCAGTTTGTAGAATATGAGTCATATAGGATCTTTTTAATTTCTATTTCTGAATAGTTGCAAAACTCTTCAACTCATCCAGATATCTCAATTCTGAAAAATCAAATGCTGAAAAAATCTTAAGTGACAAATCTGCCTAGCTATTTCACTTGTCATTATTAACCCCATGACCCAACTGATAGTAAATTGGGAAATTCATTGCAAGTAGAATAAGTTCTACAAATTCTGCAGTTTAGATCATTTGATCAAATGTATTACATTGTTATTTATCAAAGGCAAATTTGGCTCAGCATCAACAGAATGGTAACAGATTATTCTACATCACAGCATTCACACTCAGTCTATCAAAATTATAAAATACTGCAACATTGCTGGAAGGAGTAGAATAGCTGGTATTCGGAGAAAGTTGGAGTCACAGAGGGTGGAAAAAAAATCCTTCCGAAGGTACATACAGTTCTACAACAAAGTTCTTGCCTCCCTTCTGAGTATGTCAAGTTTTACATATCTTTGCCACTAACACATTGTACCTCAGACTCCCTTTCCCACTCCCTGTTAATGTTATGTGGAAAAGTCATACAAAAATTCAGAAAATCTGAAAGCAGGTGAATATTTTTTCAACAGAACTGTATACATTATCACAATGAATTTCTTTCCATTAGCAGCTCCCTAAATATAATGACCTTGGCTGGATGACCTTGGGCCAAACACTTTCTCCCAGCCCTAGGAGGGAGGAAATGCCAAGCCACTTCTGAAAAACCTTGCCAAGAAAACTGCAGGGACTTGTCCAGGCAGTCTCCGAGAATCAGACACAACTGAACAG